ATAATTCGTGGTATTTTGCGATTCTGTCGAAGAATTCCTCAACATAATAGCAATTACCACATTAATTGCCATGAACTGCATCAGCGCCCATGCGGCTTTTGATGGTTTAAAACGTTTAAAAGGTAAAAAATTGGGTGCCCCACAGTTTGAACAATCGATAGAAATCGTCAAGTTTCGAGGTTTGTTCTTTTTTGCGTTTGCGGCAAAACTATCCTTTTTTTGGATTGAATCGTCAGGTGTGATAAAAAGCAGATCCTCTGCGACAACAGGAGACGTTTAGGGCAGTGGTTGAATACCTATGAGCAATGCAGGTACTTTGCAAAGGCGAATCCCCATCAAAAAAGATCATGGTACTATATGCAACCGGATCAAACCATCACAGCAGGGTTTCAGTGTGAGAAAATCGACGAAATGGTCCGGAAATTGCGTCAGCGGCAGCCAACCTGGCCAACAAAAGAGGTCTCACCCACTATATTCTCCAGACCTGTCGCCAACCGACTACCATCTTTTCAAGCATTTCGATACCCTTCTCACCGGTAGAACCTTTGCCAATCATGACAAGTCAAAAAAGGCCTTCGACTTCATCGAACCCCGAGCATTCAATTTTCATGCTGACGGAATTAATCGATTCGTATTACATTGGAAAAAATACACTGATTCAAATGACGCTTATTTCGATTAGATTCAATAAATATTCATCGAGCTATTACAGATTAAAGTAGACAAAACTTGTTGAAATAACCCAATATTAACTTGAATATTACGCTTCATATAGGTACATTTTTTAAGCATCATCCTGTGACAAAAAACTATCTATCATTCGAAATGTCAGAATAAAAAATAACGTTCTTCCAGAATATTAACATCAGTCATCTTTATGAAGGTTCACTGGTGTGGAACATTTTTGATATGCAGTCAGTTACACATGTAAAGTCAGTGATAAGCCAATTATGATAATGACAACTTCATCCAAAAGTGATAGTTGTCGCTAATTGCTGCCTCTAATTAACACCCCCATTTAAAATTATCGTTACCACACTTCATTTATGTACTTGTAATATGCTTTATAGTTTTGGTCGGTCCAAAGAACTTAGTTTTGGAAAGAATTAGTTTGAAATGAAAAAAGCATTTGTGTAAATTTCCAAAAATTGCATTTTCAAAAGCTTTTATTGAAACATTTTATTTAACTTGAATTGTATGTATGTTAACAAATCTTGCAAGTTCAATTTGACCCACTTTGCGGTATCCGATTGACCTGAAATTTTGCATGCTAGTCCAGAACCGATGACAATGCATGTTAATCATAAACGTGACATGAAGCTGCTGCCAGGATCTGCTCCGTACGACAGATCACCATAGCGGTAAATAGCAGGGACACGAAATTTTGTATAAGCATTGGTTTATGATAAGCAGTTGGTAGGCCCACCATGAAATAGATGCCACATCCAGGGTTGGCTTCAATAAAAAATATACGATTAATACGAAAGTCAATCTATAAAACGGAGAGTCCTCCAACAGAAAAACAAGGAACGGGGAAAACTACAACATTCTACGTTCAGCTGTAACATGGCTGAATTCAGCTGGAAATTGCACAGATTTCGGTTGAATAACGAAGTCGATACGGACTGATGGAATGTCCGTGTCATACATTTGTGCTCTCCGGAAACAGGGCCATATAATTTCTATTATATGATATCATTATAAGATGGCATCTCCAACTCATCTCCAAAATTATTAATGATATGTATAAGCATTGACAAACATATATTCTTGCTATATTTTGGGTATCAACCTTGCGGGTTGCGCAAGGGTTTAACCTAACCTCACAATTGATTTCAGACTTTCCAGTCTCTGTCTTCTCATATCTGTTGTCCCCTAATACTAGTTACAGTACACGATGATTTTTGAAAGCTACTTGAGGAAAGGATATTAATTCTAAATCATCTTTTGAAAAGTCGATGTTTCACGAAGAAATTTCCTGAATCGGAATTACCAATTACATTCAATTTGTATTACCATTGTGAAGTTCTCAGGAAAAACTTTTTGTGGCAATTTTTTACGTCCATAAATATGATAACCGGCTGTCAATCACGGCTGGCAATCACGTTGTGGTCATTCGAATATGTGCTCAAAATGTAGTTGCAGAAACTTTCAATTTTTTTATGAGCAGAGTGATGTTTCAAAATTATTATATTTTGAATGGATATAGGCAATCATTTTTGGATAATCTTTATATGTGCAATGTGCGACCTCGCACATTGCACATATTAAGCGCCTTCCAAGCGATGTAACAACATGTGTGCTGAGAATAATGAAACAAAATCTAGGAAGTATATTTTTAATCAACTTATCGACGTGCTTTTCAGGAATTCAGAGAGAAAAAATGAAGGCAATTAATCTTGCACAAATAAAATAGGTACGAATATAGCTCAAGATCAAGTTTGCGCTTATCTAATTGAAGTCAAATATTGAACTTGATATTTCGAAAAACTTGTGTATTTTAAACTTAATCTAGAATAGATAAATGATGAAGAACTTGTATGAGTTTCACCATACGGAACCAAAATATTTTTTCATTCGTTTTAAGTTACGTTACTTAGAATCCAGTGAAAATACATGAAAGTCAAAAGAATTCGAATATTCACGAAACTGATCCGTAAAACGAAATCAAAAGTAGTTAAGAAACAAATTAGGAGCCTTGGTATATTCATTGACAGTAATTTAAAATTTGACACGCAAAATACTGGTTAAAAAAATAAATTATCTTCTGGTTGCTTTGCCATAAATGTCATATCTCGTGAACTTGGATTTTCAGCAGCAATAAATGCATACTATTTATTCGCTTATGGAGAGTCATCTCCGGTATGAAATTCCTGTTGTTTTATTGTACACATATGTTATGTGTACATTTTTTTCTTATCTTTGATATTTTTAATTGTTTTTTGTCTGTTATTTTTAATCTTCACTGTATTTTTGTGAATACTATATTGTCTTTAAAAAACAACATTTGATATATTTTTAACATTTTATGTATTTATAAACATGACACCCTTTGTCGATAAAGTGTATTACATTTTAGACAATAAAGATCATATTTTTAGACTTTTTTATGGGGCATACGAAAATATTACAGTATATAATGATATTAAATATATACGCGTCGAACTGATAACTTTTTTTGAAGTCTGTAAAAATATTCATGCATTACCAAACATTTACATTTTTTCGAAAAACTAGTAGGACATTAACTTAGTTGGTAAAACATGGACAAGAAGAAATATCAACAGAGTTCTGGGGGTCAAAGCAGTTATTTTCATCAGAATGATATTCTTTACACATGGTTAACAAGTCTTCTCATTTGAAGAGAGAATTCAAAACTGGTTTTGTGGAGCTTGAAAAATTCACTATATCGTGATTTTATCTCTCCACCTCATTGTCGTAAACTAGGCATGATACCGGAGAAGAAACTGATTCATTCATCATGTAATTAATTTCACTAATTGATTTTAATTTTTGACCTGCGCTTGAAATTGTTGGGATTTAACACAGTAGTGCCATTGACCATTTCCGCCGATTAACCTCCGGAGCAACTTGTTCATTCATAATTTTTTACTTCGTAGTATAACTGGTTTATAACCTTTTATTGAGCAGTCAATTGCACTGGAAATCGACTTAATTGGTTGCATATTACCTTACATTACCTTACATTGCATTACCTTACAAAAGTCTATAACAGAAATATACTGGTGAATATTGACAAGTTATTGGGTTGCCTAGCGGGCAATTTGAATGACAAGGGATACCGAGAAGTCTAGGTTATGAAAAATTAGCCATGAAGATTCGACAAGAAGTATATTGAGCAGACTGAACAAGCTACTGATAATGGTTCAAATGAACACCAGGCACATAAAGAGGAATAAACGATTGATTGCTAAGTATCAATTTATGTTTGTTAATTAAACATACTGTTTCTAAAATAATGATTCCAAAAACTGTCAAGATTTTATGTAATTCAAATAGGGGTTTGCAGGAGTCTCGACTTTTGGCATTACACATGAATCTTATAGCTCTTTTCTGAATGATGAACACCGTCTGCATTTGAGTTTTGCAACATACTCCCCAGAAAGGAATTCCATACCT